CCAGCTTTACCAGTTCGCCCCCAAATCTTCAACTGGTTTCGTTACCGTAATAGGTGTTCCTCCTTAGGGGCAGGGGAAAAAATGAGTCAAGAGTTAAGATCTGGAAATGTCGGATTCGTCAGAAAAGTAACACGTTCTGTCCCGAAGAAACGAGTTGAAAGATTGGAGGCGAAATGGTAAAAGAGAGAACTTGTTGTATTTATTTTGGCGAACTCGCCGATGTTGGACGAACTAATAGGGGGCGACCTTGCCATGAGGCGAAACCTGTAGATACCAATTTTTAAGCATAAAAAAGGGCTCAAAACACTTCCCCCAGTTCCCCCTGTACAGCCCTTTGTATAGCAAATCTACTCACCCTCCTTCTGCTTAAATAGCTGCAGCAACCGGATATATTCTTGCGAATTTTGGAGCCAGCGTACCCAATCCTACATGGAAAAAAAATCAAAAAAGGCCTCAAACTAGATCTGATTTAAGAGCAACTGAACTCACTGAAACAAAGAAAAATGCACCTCAACCTTACCATGTCCAGTCAATCAGTACAATCCACCTCAGAGAGGATTCCCCAACACAAAACTGCGCGCGTCTTTGACTTCGGGCACTTAATTTGACTTCTCCTTTCCTCTTCATTACAGTTCGAGTAGAAAAGTTGAGAGTATCCAGCAGATGATCATCTCAGTGCTGTCTGCTTCACAAACTGACGCTTGCACGCTGCGGTTTAGGTCACCGCCAAAATAAGGGACGCGTTAAAAATAGATGCAAACCAAGAGATTGTAAAGTTTTCCGCCAGCAAATTTCCCAAGAAGAACAAACCGCAACGTTCTCTGTGTGTAGCTCTCACAAAATAAATACAACTTCGAAAACCTTTGTTGTTTACATACGTTTCCCGATAACTGCATCACTTTTTATATATAGTAATAACCAAACCTTTCAAAAGGTTCAATTTAAAATGCAGCTGCAGACCAAAACAGTTCCAGGTGCGCGCATCCTCGCAGTTTTACCATACAAATTGTACATAAGTTTCAAATATGAACAATTATTTATTCGTTAAAACCTAATTACAACGTGATCTGTTTGCATGATTTTGTTCATTCAACCGTCAGATTCATCGTCGTCAGATTCATTTTCCACTTCGATCTCATTTTCATTGTCACTTTCCTCTTCCGTGTCATTTTCTTCTTCATTTTCATCCCAATTTTCCTGGAAGAAAAAAACATGACGGCTGATCGTCATTTAAGAAAGGCTTCACTGTGTCGACAGAACTTCACTCAATGAGAAAAATCTGAATGACCTCAACAAATGCAGAGCGAAACAAGAGAGAAATTTTTTGGTTCCCAAATTCACGTCATAGCAGGAATGCTTCTTTAAAAATAACTAAAGATATTTCAGTTTTCTACGGTTTTACCGGTTAAATAAATACTTCACATCTCCTTGTGTAAAGAAAAAAAAATGCGGATATTTTGCAAGTTGCATAGGGCAAGCAATTAAAAAATTGTACGCTCGTATTTTAAGTGAAATTATCAACTAAGGGATTTATGATTCTAATATCATTTCATTTTCTAGTTTTCGAAATACAGTCTGAGGCATCTGAGATTCGAATCGATCGCAAAAGGCGCCCGCGAAATAACTTTTACGACAACTCATAAATCTGTTTCATCTAATAGTTCGTCAATTAAAATCACATTCAACTCTTGATTGACAAGTGCGGCTAATTTGTTGCTCCACTTTCCGTCCGCATTTTTTGCCCTGTTCCAAACAGCATCGCTAAACTGAAACGATACGAGCGCACGTTCTACATTAACTTTATTATAAATCAGAGAACTTACATCAGACTCCGAGTGTTCAACCTCAATAGGTACAAGCGGTTCCTCATCTGAATCTAAAGAAAAGGAAAAAGTTGTGATATAAAATGTGCAAGAAATAAAGTGTTACACTACGTATGTAACAATAAAACTTGTTTTTTTTTAACAAAAAACTTGCACACGATGCAAAATACAGAATCTAATAAACCTCGGGTGAACATGCAAACAAAAGGGGAGCCGTCAATCACATGCAGTGCGATTCTAAGATCATGGCAGAAGATAACATACCTTCCTCTTGATACACAACAGTGGGTTCAACATGCTCCTCTTCCTCTTGATTGTTTTGACTTTGAGAGTCCACCTTTGAATAGTAGAGCAATAATAATACCATTACCATCAAATCAACAACAACAATAGCAACTACAACAAAACAGATGACGCAATTTTCAATTGAGTGTCGAAAGTAAGCCATTACATTACATTACTTCACAATGCGATTGGTCCACGAAACTCGTGCCACCTTCGCAACCAATCAGACTCAAATCTAACACCAATCGTGCCTTGGTTGCTCGAGTTTTCTTGCGCTTTGAGCGGTTTGCTGGTTGCAATTTTGAGCCTCGTAGTGATGTTTTCCTCTGCTCTGATAACTCTACTCTTCATTTCACGACCGTTAATCGAGATGCTCTCGAAAGTTTTAAACCTTC